TGATGGGTGGGTGATGGGTGGATTGATGGGTGGGTGATGGGTGGATTGATGGGTGGGTGATGGGTGGATTGATGGGTGGGTGATGGGTGGGTGATGGGTGGGTGATGGGTGGATTGATGGGTGGGTGGGTGGATGGTGGGTGATGGGTGGTGGATATAATAAACAAGGGAAAAATATGAAAGGAAGGAAGATAAGCTGTAATAATCACACCCATAATCTCAGCTATTCAAGAAGCTAAAGCAAAAACCCTGTCTCAACAACAACAACAACAACAAAAAACCATCAAACAAATGAAAAAATGAAAACAAATTATAGGTTCAGAAAAGGAGACAAGCTTGAGTCCCAAAACCGTGTAAATTCCATAGGCTACAGACTTAAAAAGCATGTGAAAAAAGCAAGGTAGAACAGTTTTGTTTAGTGTATTACCTGTTTTAACATGAAGTGGAGGAAGAACATTCACACTGTGAGGCGGCAGGATGAAGAGTGGCTCATTGGTGAAATAGGCAGCCATGAAACGTGCCATACACTGGACAACTCTGACTGCCGCCTCGGGGTGTACATTTCCAGCCACTGCATTCTCAGAATCTAAGCAATAGAACAAATGACCAAGAGAGTCTCAACGAGCTATAAAAAGTAAAATTATTTAAGATAACCCCCATTCTCAGGTCCATCCAGTAATACAATGGAGTACAAGTCAACCAGAAGAGTCCCTCAGACCCCGACCCACATGCTCAGGCCAGCTGGAACCGCTGTACACTATCCCACTCCTTTCAGTGTACTGCTTGTGGTACACTGGTGGGATAAGGTGAGCACAGCTACTTTCAACACACTGCTCCAAGCTACAGCTAGAGCATTAAGACAGGAGAAGGAAATTACAGGGGCAGTGATAGGAAAAGACATAAATTATCCCTATGATATATGACTTTATATATCATAGATAATATGAACATATATATATATGAAATACCAAAAATCTCACCAGGAAACTTCTATAAACAAACAATATACTCAGTAACGTGGCTGTAGCTATTGTAGGCTACTTTGTAGGTTCTTCATTCTTCCACCCTTCTTCTCAACCCCTTTTCTTCCACCTTTTCAACCCTCCCCCCAAACACTAGACGAGAGAAAAAAAGAAAGAGGGGGGAAAAAAAAAAGAGTTCCCTGAATACAGTCAGGGGTCAGAACAGGGGCAATGTTATCATTAAACTACTTCACACTGATTGGGGTGTCAAGTTCCTTGGGGCAAGTTTGATCTTCACTGTCAGGATATCTAGTTTCTTGTTTCCTTTGCACACTACTTACCAAACATCAACCAACAACAACCAGCAACAACCAGCAACAACCAACAACAACCAACAACCCACTCTGTCTCTCAGGGCCCAAGCATTTATATATCCTCTCCAAAGTCCCCAGACTCCAAACATTACACAATTGCAGAAACTATCTGCAGCCGGCAAAATCATCCCTCTGCTGGAGCAGGAGGCACAACCCAGCTGCTGTGGACGATCAGAAGCAGCCCCCATACCCTACACCTGGGATTCAAACAGTAACATTTTTACAATATTTCTGTGTTTTTAAAAAAAAAATTCCAGAATTAAAAATTCTCACTACAGTGGCAGAATATACAAACACACAAAATCAATTTACAAAGAACAGTAGCCTTTTGTATACCAATTACAATACAGTAATCATGGAACACTCCCATTCATAATAATCTCAGTAGATAAATATATCCAAGAATAAACCTAACCTGAGAAAAGCATTAGAAGACTGAAAGATCTCCCATGTTCATGGATACTTACAATGTAAAAAATGACAATTCTGTCAAAATCAATTTACAGATTCAACCAGATTCATTACAATCCTCATCAAAATATTCATATTTTTCACCTAAATAAAAAAACTCATAGAGAAGCACAAAAGATTTCAGATAGCCAAGCAATTCTGAGTAAAAAAAGCATTCTAGAGGGATCACTAACTCAGATTTCATGCAGTGTCACAGAGGTACAGTAATAAAAATAGCAGTGTACTACACACAGACAAGCAGATCAACAGAATGGGATACCAGACCCAAACCTAAGTATATGTCATTACAACATCCAATAGTTGACAGATGCCAAAAACACAACTTGAAGACAGACATCAACTTCAGAAAATGGTGTCCTGGTTAGTTTTTTTGTCAGCTTAACACAAGCTAGAGTTATCTAGGAAGAGGACCCTCAGTTGACAAAAATGCACCCATTAGACTGCCTGTAGGCATGCCAGTGGACATTTTCTAGGAGGATCCAAGCCAACTGTAAACAATGCCACCTCAGTCCTGGGTGGTTAAGAGAGGACACTGAGCAAGCCAGTAAGCAGCACTCACTCCTCTTGGCTCTCTGCTTCAGTTTCTACACCTTTAGATCCTGGTCTCATTTCTTTTCACAACAGGCTGTACATTGTAAAGTGAAATAAGCCCTTTCTTCCCTGAGTTTCTTTTGATCAGTGTTTTGAGGTTTGGGGTGCGTATGTGTGTGTGTGTGTGTGTATTTGCGTGTGTATTTGCTTTTGTCTTGGTTGTTCTGAGACAAGGACTCTTGGCTACCTGGATCTCATTATGTAGACCAGGCTGGCCCTGAAAAAATATAGAGATTCACCTGCCTCTGCCTCCTGAGTGCTAGGATTATTGGCCAGTGTAACAACAGAAAGCAAACTAAAACAAATAGGGCTGAGAAAATTGGACATCCATATTTAGAAAAATGAAACCAAACCCTATCTTTCACCCTGCGTAACAGAGCTCCACTCACTCAAAGACCTCAATGTGAAACCTGACACTACAAGAAGAAAACAGACAGTCCTCCACAGGATACAGGGGCTGGAAAGAACTCTCTAATAGGATTCCATTCACTCACAAATTAAAGCCAACAACTGACAGACAGGATTTTGTAACACTGAAAAGCTTCTGCACAGCAAAGGAAACAATCAACCTAGTGATGAAGAAGCCCACAAAGCACGAGATAACTTTGGCAGCTAATATCCTACAAGCGCTTAAGATCCAGAACATACAAACGACTTAAATACCAAAGAACTGAGAAAAGCAAGGAATTAGGAAGCCAGTGAACATATTTTGACTCCTTGAGAGAAGTGTCTTTAGTGAGTTCTTAGATAAATCTCAAATAACAGTAATGTTATAGCCACTGAGAAGTTGACAGCCCAAAATCCACAAAGAATAACTTAGTCACTGTAAAGACAAGGCAATTTTTACATGTAAACAATTTGTTCTCTACATCCATAAAGAAAAGAAAATGCTATTAAGTCAGTGGGATGGCACATGCCTATAATCCCAGCACCTAGGAGGGTGAGGCAGGAGAATTGCCATGAGACTGAGGCCAGCATGGGCTGGTTATATGAGTACCAAGAAAGTGAAAGAAAAACACAGCAAGAGCTTTTTCAAAATAAACAAACAAATAACATACAGTGAATTTTAAAAAGTATACCTGAGCAATCGTTACTTTCTTTTACAGGTAGCTGGGACCAGTTGAGTATCTCTCTTACTAGGTGATCACATAATCCTTGAGCATCGTTTAAATTATAGCAGTAGAGGTGGCAGTACAAGAGAGACAGATAGTAGCGTAACTGAAAAAAACATGTCCTTCTTCCTCCTGAAACAGAAGAGTTCAACTTACAAGCATGGAAGGAAGGGACTGCTCTCAGCTACTGCCATGTAGGCAGCTGTGTGATGTCTGTGAAAATTCATCAAGTTATACAATTATGACACGTAGTTTTATTGTATCTGTTTTATACTTCAATAAAGAATTTCTGACTCAGTATTCTTTAAGGAACTGGCCACTGGGAGTTTGACCATGCTCCAGTGAGTATATGAGTAACACATACTGACCTTTTTTTTCCTCCTCCTTTTTGGAGGGAGGTCACAAGGGTTGGAGGGCAGACCTGGGTGCATAATATGAAATTCTCAAATAATCAATGAAAATATTATAAAAGGAAAAAAAAAACAGGGCAGCAATCAAGCATGGTGGCTAATTCCTTTAATCGTAGTAATCAGAGGCAGATGCAATAAGATTTCTCAACAAGGCCAAAATGGTCTACATTTAGAGTCTAGACTAGCCAAGGCTACAAAGGGAGACCCAATCTCAAAATAATATTAATAACAACAACAACAACAAGTCAGCAATATTAAGTCTTTTCATTTTATATTCTAAATCATTTTGTTTTCTTTTTAGTAGGCCCTAAGATGATCAATGTTACCCAAAAGTTTCAAATTCTCACTATCTTAGCATGAAGGTCTTCTACTTATTTTTACCTCAAGTTTCAAAGTGAACGAATTTAATTTTATTTGGGGTTACTACAATAAGCCCTCATGTGAACCAAGACATGACACTGTGCAAATATTACACAGATCTAAAACTTTTTACTTCACTGAATCCCTCTCCTTTATCCAGTTAACCAGATCTTAAAACCGAGAACTACATTAAACTTTTTTTCCCAAATCTACTCAACCACAATATCCACTGATCAAAGTTGCTGTGTGTCTGTTAAATTTGAACTCCATTCCATTAGCACAGATGTTGACTTGGTTCCATCTCTTCATCTGATTAAAGGTCTTGCTTTGTACAGTCCACACCCCTCCAACCATAAATGTATCAAAGTGACCTTCTTAACTGACCTATAAAGGGGCTCCTTGATTTGTAAACACATCATAAATAGAAAATATTATAAATCAAAAATGCATTTATGTGAGTTGGGAAGATAGATCTGCACTAAAGAGCACTTGCAGTTCTTGCAAAGAACTAGGTATTGGTTCCTATCACCTACACGACCCTCTGTAACTCTACTTCCAGGGCATCTACCACCTTCTTTCTGACGTCCACAGGTTGCAGGCACATATATGGTGCACAGATATGCAAGCAAATCACTTATACACATAAGAATAAATATTTAAAAAATGCAATCACATACCTAGACTACCAATCATCAGAACGCACCATGGAGTATTAGCTGCTACCCTTGTGATTGTACAGCTGACTAGGCGCTAAGACTCACCGCTGCTCTTCAGCCATGCATACTGCACAGAACATCTAGCTCACGATAAATTGGAAAACAAATCTGAAGCTTTCTAGTGAATATACATGACTTTCCTGTCATCACTAAGTTAAGAGTTTAAAGATAAACTACTGTAAATCAGGGGCTGTCTATACTTACTTGGACAGTCTTTTCCCTACAAGTGGACCAGTAGTAAGATAGCTCCATGCCACAAGCCTGACAACCTGAGTTTGACCCCAGGTCCCACATGGTAGAAGGAGAGAACTGACTCCTACAAGGCATCCTCTGACCTCCACATGAAATTCTGTAACAAATGTGCACCCCTCCACATGAATGACTGTCATTTTAAAAATTGGCTTATTATACCAGCACTCAGGAGGCAGGGGTAGGGAGATCTGCAAGCAAGGGCAGCCTGGTCTACACAGTAACTTCCAGGCCAGCCAGAGCTACAAGACAAACCATGTTTTTAAAAATAAAAAATCACTGGATGCTACTCTTTCTTGTCACGTCATACAGGCCTCTTCACTACTGCTCCCTCTCAGCAGTCCTGACCTACCAAACACTAATGCTGCATACATGGACCACACATTCTATTTTGAGCTAACAATCTGCACCTTGCCAAATTCTTAGCATCTCTCAGGTCTTTGATTTCTCTAGATTCATGAAACTGGTGGCACCTTTTATGATGTAGGGCTAATGGTATGACTCAGTTTACCTACCTTACTTAGGATCTAAACTCATGAGGAATGCTCATCCTCTGTTAACCCATCCTACTGTCTGAACTGTCTCATTTTAACTCAACTTTAAACATCAGCCTCTCCAGGATTCCCTGGAGCTGATCTGTACCTTCAGGCTTAGAGTATGGAAGTGCTCTTCTTGTGTTCCTGACCCCAACTGAAACAAAAGGTTAGCTTTTTATTCTGTTATCTCTAGTGCCTTGTGCAGTGCTGGGCTATAGCAAACCCTGAGAAAACACTGGCAGATGGAAAGGGGAGTCTGAAGAGCAGACATTCAGTTCAGCTATGCAGAGCTACAGCAGCCACAAAACAAATGTGAAGCATAGTGCTCTCACCAGGCAGTGACTACTTTTTCATCTTGGTCATACCTTTAGTTCAATATCATAAAAGATGTCATCAGTTTCTGGAACCTAGAGTCTTATGTCATTATAAAAAAATCCATGTAAATCAGATTTAACTCCCATGCTCTGTTTAACCTCAAACACTCAAATCTCTTAAAGGCCAGGAGGCTTAGCTCCGTAGTTCTCTCAGTGTCTGCAGGAAGGTGGTAGGATATTTGACGTATAGTTTTCCGTTTAGAAGCTCTGCAGCAAGTTAATTTATGTCCTTCCCACTCCAGAGTTGCTTTTTTAGAAACACTCCTTACCTTTCTCTTGGGTTTCTTGTAGAGCCTTCTTCCACAGGCAAACTGACTTTTCATATGATGCTAGCAGAAAACACTCTTCACCTAAAAATGATTTTATCCAACAGTTAGTTACAGTTGATTACATAACGTTTAAAAGTTTTGTTTAAAAATTCAGTAGATACATCCCCAGCCTGAAATTATTCTGAAAATCAAGTACGTGTAACCCATTTTGAAAACCCAAAGCACAGGCCATCACTTCACATATCCAAGGACTTAGAAAGTATTTACAGATACTCACCACTGATAGGTGTAAGTTCTAAGGCTTGACTCAAGCTATCTCCAGCCATCTGCAGGTTAGTTTGGACATAACATAACAGAGTCTTGACAAACGATACTTCAGGTGTTATATTTTCAGTTAATTCTCTGTCACCATCAGGAGTTCTTCGGCTTAATTGCGCTTGATACCACAAAGTTTTTTTGTACAATAGTCTCCAAAGAGCAATCAGTCTATACAAAAAAAAAATTAGATAATCATTAAAACCAAAATTCATGAGTGATAAGAATAAGTTTAGCAGGGTGGTGGTGGCGCACGCCTTTAATCCCAGCACTTGGGAGGCAGAAGCAGGTGGATTTCTGAGTTCGAGGCCAGCCTGGTCTACTGAGTGAGCTCCAGGACAGCCAGGGCTACATAGAGAAACCCTGTCTCAGAAAACCAAAAAAATAAATAAATAAATAAATAAGTTTAGCTCCCTTTGTCAGCAATGTTTTGCTTGGTTTCCTCACAGATCCAACAGAACAGTGACCAAGTTAATGATCACAGTCCACAATCAAAAGATATATACTGCCAGGCGGTAGTGGCGCATGCCTTTAATCCCAGCACTTGGGAGGCAGAGGCAGGCAGATTTCTGAGTTCCAGGCCAGCCTGGTCTACAGAGTGAGTTCCAGGACAGCCTGGGCTATAAGAGAAAACCTGTCTCGAAAAACCAAAAAAATAAAAAAATAAAAGATATATACTATGTGTGGCAAATGCATATAAGGACCACAAGATCTTCACAAAATTTTTATGCACTTGTGTACATTTTTCATTATGTACTTAACTTTTACTATAGACTTTCAAGATCATTATGGCTGCCCAAGACCACCCCCGAAAATGTGTGGATTTTTAGTATTTGGGGAAAAACCCAAAACAATTTTTGACTGACAAATAAAATTTATATAGAGAACCTGGAAAGATGCCTCAGAGGTTAAGAGCATTTGCCTCAGAGGTTAAGAGGACCTGAGTTTGCATCTCAGCACCCACTGTGTGCAGCTTACAACTGCCTGCAACTTCATCTCCAGAGGATTCAATAAACACAAATACACAGACATAAACTAAAAAAAAAAATGTTTAAAAATCATATGGATATATCAGGAAGATGTGCTACTATTCTGAAATGGTACTTAAATGTTTTTAAATTAACATATTTTAATACTGGAATTTGGTGGTTACAAAGTTTCCTTCTAGAGTGAAAAATTACTCTGTGATTAGTACTAACAGTTTTAAAATCTAAGTCCTAACAGTTTTAAAATCTATTAAGTATACTAAAAAGTACCAAATTATACATTTCTTATTACAGTCTAAGAAATCTAATGGTGTTTTACTAATATTAGTAGTCTTACCTGTGACCTGGCTTCTGAACAAGATTTGTCACTTGAGGATAAATCTTTAAAGAGGAGTTCCAAGACCAATTTTCCTTAGAAGCTTGAAAGACAGGTACCATTAACGAGTCTAGCTCTGCTGGTCTACTTTCGCCAGCTGCTGCTGGAACAGCCTCAGGCTGAAGAGTGCATACGCCATTTAAAAAGTCAGTCACAGTTCGGAGTAAAGAAAGGCAAGCTAAAAGCTTTTCTGAGAATAATTCATTTTTTTGTGGCTGAGTCAATAAAAGCTTTACAGTATTTGTGGTGAGCTTTATCAAATGGCCCATATTTTGTCTATATCTCACATCCCAGTAGTGAATCGATAAACACTGATGAAAAAGTTGAAAGATGCAAAGTATCCATGTGTTATGCTTCAGCCTCTTATTTAAAAGCAGGCCAAACGTAGGCAAAGGACATTTTATAAACTGAAGAATATAGAAAAAATGAGTGATGCAAAGTACTGTGTAATTTAACATTAACTTTTTTTCTTTTACATTTTTTGAAATTCCTATAGTCCAAGCTGCAAGTAGTTTTTTCTGGATACAATGAAGTTCTGCAGTGGTTCTGTCTGTCTCCTTGGAATCATCCTTTGCATGAACTGTATCAAACATAGATGCAAACTCCAGTCTTCCTTCCTTGACAATATTAAATAGATGATCTTTTCTTTGGTTACAAAAAGAAAATGAATTGTTTAGAAATTGTTCAACTTCATTAGTTTCTTCTCCTTCAAAATCCTAAACACAAGAGGAGAAATATTTAATACCTTTCAAGCCTTATGCATAGAATCACTGTGTTATTCTTAAATTTCTATTTCCTTTAACAACAAAGAACAAAAACAATAAACTAATGAATTTCTTAGAATAAAGTCAGTATATACTAATAAGTACCTGAAAATCTGAGGTTTCATTTAACTTCATTGTTTCTTCTGCCTGCAAAAATCTGGGGACAGTGCACTGTACTGAACTTTCCTTTCCTTGACGCTTTAACAGGCTAGACCTCAAGGAATCCAGAGATCGCAAATTCAGCCCTTTGTCCTTGGGCTGTAGAAAAATAGACAAATTACTTCCAAGAAAGATGTTTATCTATAAACCTAAAGCAATTAAAACTTGGAGTGCCAAAAAGGCTATTATTACTATCAACAGTTTTAACGTGGAAAGGACACCCAACGGCACTGTACCTTAGACAGCATCATCCTCTGGTAGGCTTTCTCAAGCCTCTGGGTTGAATCAAGAAGCAAGGTCCTCATGAGCACTGTTGGAGACGGGTTATCAAGAAACCGAAGGGTTGTGACCATGTAGCCATCAGAGATAATAAGGTAGGGTAGCCGCGAATGTGCTTTTACAGAAAACCTCTGTCTCAAAGGATCTCTCTCAGAGGCTGACGAATCTACACAATTATTTGAATCTTGAAATGGAAGCTGCTGTGGTCTAGCAAACAAACATGAAAAGTCAAGAATCAGCAAGAGAAAGGATCTTAAAGGAAGTAATATACATTATTCAAAACAAGGCGAAGTCAGCACACAGAAGGAGAGCAAGCAGAGGAGACAGACATGAAAGCATTAATCGTGTATTTGTCTTCCAGGAACATACAGTAGTGAAAACATATATCCTTATATGTTTCCAGATTTTTTTCCTCAAATTTGTGGCATTTATTATGTTTTTTAAAATTATATGCAACCTGTTTCAAAAAAAAATTGTGGAATCTTACTTTTATTATTAAAGAGTTAAGTAACTGACTTTCCTTCTAAAATATATAAACACAGGAACAGAATTACAAAAGTTACAATCAGTACAATTGTTAATAAGGAGAAAAACAGAAAGAAAAAAGGACATTTGGAGAATATAATCGTGAGTTACATTTTATAAATTTGAGTCACATAAGTATACATATCTATTATAATGATATATAGCAGACTCTGATTATGTAATATAGCTGCTTATTATATTTAACATTTTATAAATATGAAACAGATTAATACATTGCAATTTGTTGGGCTAGAGAATTATTAAAATACAGATATGAGAGACCTGCCTACCACGTATGAGGTCCTGAGTCTGATCTTTAGCACTGCACAAAGACAAGTCAGGATGCCCAAGATTTCTAGTAAAGATTGCTTTTTATCAGCCAAATGTCCAACAACAGATCAGTATGTATGGAACCAATAAAAAACAGTGCCTGGGGCTCAGCGGTCAAGAGCACTGGCTGCTCTTCCAGAGGTCCTCACTGAGTTCAATTCCCAGCAACCACATGGTGGCTCACAACCATCTATAATGGGATCCAATGCCCTCTTCTGGTGTGTCTAAAGACAGCTACAGTGTACCCATTATTATGTACTTATAATTAATTTTATTTGGTTTTCTTTGAGACAGTGTTTCTTTATGTAAACCCTGGCTGTCCAGGCACTTTTTTTTTTTTTTTTAAGACCAAGCTGGCCTTGAACTCACAGAGATCCACCTGCCTTGGCCTCCCAAGTGCTGGGATCAAAGGCATGCACCACCACAGCCTGACATAATGCCTAACTTTTAGTGACAAATAAATGCTAGTAGAAAACTGTCATTTCCTGCAGTAAAGTATTTTCTTTATTTTTAACCTTTTGGTTATACATTTTATATGTGGTTCTCAATAAGATAAATGCTGAGTAAGTTTTGGTTTACTGCGTATAGTTAGATGTATAGAGAGAGCTGTTTTAAAAATGAGCTCATGTTAAAAATTGTGTGAGGAGATGGGTGCAGTACTAGTGGAGGGGGAGGCCTCAGACAGCTGGAGTTTCAGGGGGACTGACTGCCCCACATAGATGCTGGGGACCAAACTCTAGTCTTCCAGAAGGGCCTGAAAAGTTCTTAAATGGTGAGTCATCTCTCCAGCCCCAAGAGCTATTTTTTAGATAGAAAAACTGGAGGTGACTTTTGAAATTTATAAGCGTATAGAAAGGAAACAGACACTGGTACATCCTTGATTTGTTTAGCAAAAAAGCAATGCTTAATTTTTAGTGACAGATTAATGTTAGGAGAACACTGTTAATTCCTAGAGTGAAGGTTTTTTTGTTAAGCCTTTATATTTTTATTTTATGTATATGGGTATTTTGTCTGCGTGTATGTCTGTGAACTTTGTGCATATGGTGACCAGGAAGGTCAGTTAAGGGTGTTAGATCCTCTGGGACTAGGGTTACAGTGTATATCCTTACTTTATTCCCTCAGTCCTAGAAGACAATCTCATGAGAAAAGAAACTGAGAATTAAAAAAAAATATATCACTTACTGAACTAGGAAATAGAAAACTAGTATTTGAAATGATTTGTCTAACTACAAAGTCAACTTGCTTCCTTCTTTCACAATTAAAGTCCAAATCACTCTATATTGTATTAGTAACAGATTTTGTCCTTTGGGAAAATATGTTAATTTTTAGTTACTAAGTTATCTAAGCACTACATTTTTAAAATAATAAACATCATGTTTTATTGTCTTTTATAGTAAAGATAAGTTTTTAGTACTATTAAGAATTTAAATAACTTTATACTTACATAGTCACAATGTCAAACTTTCACCAGGATTAAGCCACAAAAAGAAACAGGAAGAAAACTATAAATAATTAGGAACAGATAAGAAATAGATATTGACATGACAGACTCATAGAAAGAAAAAAAATTGAGGGATAAATTGTTTTTGTAAAAATATAATAAAATTAATCACCAAAGAAAATAAGTTAGTAAACAAAACAATTTAAATTTCTCACCTATATGTTATTAGTGGATGAAGAGGAATAAATTCAGCTGGCCCAAATTCTATAGAGCAACCAAACGTAACTAGCGTTAGCAATTCTCCTAGGCACGTCAATAAAACCAGGGAGCCACGTTTTAATACACAAGCCAGAAAAAGACTGTCATGCGTCCAGCTGATGTCACCAACCCAATATGACCTAGAAAGGGCAAATGACAGTTTTAGAAAGGACTGGATAGTAGGTAACTCTCACATAAATTTTGTGAATTTTATTTTGTAGAAGAAAAAAAAAGGCTTACACATATCTTCTATTCCAATATCGTTCCAATTAGACATTTACTTAGATTTGTAAGCAATTCAAAAATGAAAATACTCCCCAAAGTTGAGGCACTCCTCTTTTGATGAGAATGAACTGTAATCTCACTGGCACCCATGGCCAAGACTGACAGACCAATTCTGAGACTGTGCCTATCTGCTCTTCAGCCTCACAGAAATCCACTCACCAGCACACTGCCTTTTCCTAAGCTGTCCCTTGTTCTGTAATTCTCTGGCAGCATCATGTGTCACTAGAATAAAAAGCAGCTCCTAACCCTTTTGACAGTGGCAGACATAGTCACTACTGGAAAGAAAACAAAAGGCCTCCTTAGAAATAAGTACATGTGTTCTTACCTGGTAAGTGTAGCTGGGACCACGGGATTCTTATTACTACATCCTTTAAGGCCACCACAGACAGTAACAAAATTCATTGTGTTTATAAATAACACCTGAGTTGCCTAGATGGGGGGAAACATGACAAGCAATGAAGTTATCCTGCTGTGTGCATTGCTGACAATACTGGAGGCTGAGAAGGCCATTATACACTGCTATAAACAGTCTTTCTAAGTCAGACCGTACTGACAGCCCGCCATGGCTCTCTGCTCAGAGTATCCTTAAACTTGAAATCCTCCCACCCTTGCCCTGCAAACTGCTGGGGTGAGTATGAATGCAGACCTGCTCTCCGCTCTCCTTCCCTCTGTTTCTTCTATCCTCCTTTCACTGTTCATTCTGTGTTGCTGTGTTGAGACAGGGTTCTGCTATGTAGCCCAGGCTGGCCTTCAACTCAGATCCTCCTGTCCCAGTGTGCAAAGTTCTGGGATTATAGGCATTTGCCACCAAGCTAAGGTTTTGTTGTTGTTGTTGTTGTTGTTTTTGAGACAGGATTTCTCCTTGTAGCCCTGGCTGTCCTAGAACTCACTCTGTAGATCAGGACGGTCTCGAATTTAGAGCTCTGCCTGCCTCCCCAGTGCTGGATTAAAGATGTATCCAGCCAAGGTAAGCTTTTTAATTTTGTATTTCTCCAGAATAACTTTTGAAAATTATGGCAGCTAATTTATATAACTTACACAATCAACTCAAAACATCAATTTTAAAACATAAAGTAGTAGTAAGGACAGAGGTTATTACTGACCGTTGGGTCTTTCTGATTAAGAGTTACTGCTAGGGTAAGGCCATCTCTTGAGAAGGCAGAGATCAAAGCTCCTCGTGACTTTACTGATGCACACTTAGGGGTCAGATTGGACAGAAGACATTCCTCTTGTGCCCAGTGAACACGGAATGGGAATGACCTAACAAAGTAATGAAATAAATGATAGCAAGCTTTAATAATTTTGTTTACTTAGTTTTGATGTGTGTGTATTTTGTTTTGGAGATGAGGTCTCAATATATGATCCAGACTGGCACTGAGTTCCTAGGAGCAAGTGAGCCTTCTTCCTCAGCCTCCCAAGTAACAGGCTGCAGGCATATGAGACCATGCCAAATTCATACAATAATTCTGAAGTTGATACACAGTACATAATAAAAAATAAAAGGGTAGACCTACACTTCAGGACATGGAAATATATGTATTGTTCAGTAGCTGTCAGTCAATCTAGTTTGGTGTTGGAGCTTTCTAAATAGAGTTATGTTCCATAATCAAACCTAAATATACCTGTTTCAACTAAATGTTTAAACATTCATGTGCCAGAAAACATTCTACTGGAATCATTAAAACAGGGAAGAGGGCTGAGCAAGATGCTAGGGATATGAATACGAGCAAGATAAATGGATAAAGAAACTTATTTGTTATGCAACTAATGTACATTAGCTTAAAAACTGAGAAAAAAGTAGGGAAAACATACCTTCTTAGATTATGCCAATTTCCCACATTTGTTCTGAGAGATAATTAGATAGATGTATAAATTTACTCACATACTTACAAACTTAACTGTTTTACTTTATGTGACTAACAATGTACTGTTAACAAAGAAAACATAAAAGGCGCATTCCTTTTCCAAAAATTACATAAGAATTACAAGTTTTTAATATATTTAGCTCTGTTTTACGAAGCTTAGAATACAAACTATTTTACTATTAAAAATTTTTTTAATTAAAAAAAAGAACTCTTGGATAGGCCTGATGGCTCTAGCATCGGGGATATACAAACAAGAGATCTCTGCATCCAAGACCAGCATGATTCACGCAGAGTCCCAGGAGAGTCAGGGCTACATAGTGAGACTTCGTCCAAAAGCACAGACTAGAACAAAACAGTTGAGCATTTCGAAGGTACAATGTAAATCCAAATATTTCTGCCCCCTTTAAATTTCAATTCATTTCAAAGTAATTATTTTTATAGTATCAAGACAAATGTGCCACCACAAACCATGCTATCTCTTACATGTTCTCCCTTCTAGGAAAAGAAAAACAAGGGAAACTGTCTAGATTAAATGTTTAAAAGTGAAAGGTGGAAAGAAAGATCTACAAAGCCAGAAAAACCAAAATGGAGATCTAAAAATCTTAAATACATACTGATCAAAAAATGACAATGCTAGTTTAAATGTGGAAAATAAGAGAAAGGGAAATATTTACCTCACCTTACAGATGTAAATATAGTCTCATACCACTGAATGGCCAGAAATGTTAACTTCAAGCATTCTCCAGAATAAAACGTAAACGAACACAGGCAGCAGTCGCCAAGTAACTGTAGATAAATTTAGTAATTTAGTATAAAATTAATCTGAAAATAAATTGATATATGAAAATGTTTCCTATAAGTGCAAAATATCGGGACCCAGCTTTTATTTTCATTTTTTAACAGTAAGCTTAAGCCTACATTATTTTTCTTTTCCCAGAAGCAAGGCCCTAATGAGAAATCAGCCTAAGCCCAGGAAAGAGCTCTTTTGGGGCTGGGGAGAAAACCCAGGGCCTTGAGCATGTTGTTTACAGTCAAGTCCAATAAGAGACACCAAAGAAAAGGAATCTGTACTGGTTTTTCAATAGCACAGTAGGGTAACTGCTGACCATATTATCAGTATTATGATTGATAATATAAAATATAAGATAATAACAATATCATCAGAGTGACTCAAAGATTAAACCTCCCAACATATTAATGTGTTTAATGCTTGATGGCATGATATATAGATTCGACTATAATATATAAATATATAGAAGTACTATATGCCACTTTATAGATATGTAAAAATACTAGTTTAAAAATATATACTGTCATTTGCTGTTGCTGGGAAGGGTGCTGTAAAATTATTCTCTTCTATTATAGTTTATATTATTTATATTACAGTATCAGCTTACTAGGAGGGAATAATAAAATTTCAAAATGCAATATTTTTTTTGTTTTGTTTTTCAAAACAGGGTTTCTCTGTGTAACAGTCATGGCTGTCCTGGAACTCACTTTGTAGATCACGCTGGCCTTGAACTCAGAGATCTGTCTGCTTCTACCTACCAAGTGCTGGGATTAAAGGCCTGTACCCGCCACCCCCTGCTTTTTCTTTTTTAAAAGAGAGATTCTCAGATAGCCTAGGCTGGTCTGAACTGATCATCTTGCTTCTGTCTCCATGATGCTGAGATTACAGTCATGTACCATCAGGCCTGACTTCAAACTACAATGTCTAACAAAAGTGGATTAGGTAATAGATGAAATTTCATACAGAGATGACGTGACACTATTTAAAATTTGCATTTTAAAGAATGAATCTACTATATTCTGAGAATGTAATGACTTATTTAACACCACCAGTCCTAACTTATTAACTTACAAAACATATACACCTTTTGTTTTAACTTGCTTGTTTATGACAAGGCCTAGCTATATAGCCAAGATGGCCTGGAGCTTAATACTTGACCCAGGATGGCTCAAACTTGGGGTAGTCCTTGCACATCTGCCTCCCGAGTGTGGGACTGAAGGCCTGTACCACCATGTTCACCAGCATGCTCAGTACAAGTCGTATTATGAACTAGGAGAGGGCTGGAGACATGACTCAGCAGTTAAGAACACTAACTGCTCTTGCAGAGGTCCTGAGTTCAATTCCCAGCAACCACATGGTGGCTCATAACCATCTCTAATGGGATTCAATCCTCTCTTCTGGTGTGTCTGAAGACAGCGACAGTGTACTCACATATATAAAATAACTTTTTTGGGGAAAAAAGGAACTAGGAGAAAGGGAAGTGTAATTTAAAACCATTTTTAAAATCATCTTTCCAAACAGTTATCTTGCATCTGCTCTGACTAGTAACAAGTAGTTATGTGATTCTACCCCTGACTAAACTGCCTCACTGACAGCACCAGTTCTTAAAGCCCGAGGGAGAGCCCTACTGCATCCACAGTGGATCATTTGGATTTTACCTCATTTTTCACAAAAACAGCATCCACCACAGCTTCTTTATCTTTAGTGGAAGGCAATAAAACTCCTTCTTCAGGGACGATCTGGGACCACTGACCCACCAAAGAAAGACTTTTAGAAGATAAGATATTCTTCAATTCCAAATATTCCCACAGAAGTATACAGCCAGAAGATGTAATAAGCAGAATTCTTTTCCCATTTTCAGCTACATATAAGTATAGTCTTGAAGAGCTTGCTAATTAACACAAAACAAAACAGAAAAATTATATTTTTGAAATCTGAATTTTTCAAGAAAGCACAAGGAGTTTTATTGTTTGGTTGGTTTGGGTTTTTGTTTGTTTGTTTTTGGGGGTTTTTTTGGTTTTTGTTTTTTGTTTGTTTTTGTTTTGTTTTGGCTTTTATGAAATAGGGTCTCAATCTATAGCGCCAGGTTAGCCTCAGACTCACTGTGATCCTCCTATTTCAGCCTTCCAAATCATTGCCTGGAAAGGTTAGCTACCTCAAGCTGTTTACACTCAGGATGTTAAAACTAAAGTATTAATAATAAAAGTACAAGCAACAATTACATTTACTACTTTTTGCTTGTTTTCTTGAGACAGAATCTCTCTTTGTAGCCCTGGTTGTCCTAGAACTTACTATGTAGACCAGGCTGGCCTCAAACTCACAGAGATCCACCTGCCTCTACCTCCCCACTGCTGGGATTAAAGGTGTGCACCACCATGCCTGGCATTAATGGTAACGTACTAGGAACTGAACCTTTGCCTTGTGCACGCTGGGCAAGTGCTCTAACACTGAGACCCACTACTAATGCTCTTTCCACCTTTTATTTTAAGACATGGTCTGCACTCAAGCTGACCTTCAGCTCAATCTGAGGGACAAACAATACTTAGCCTTCTGGCCCTCCTGCCTCAGTCTTCTCAATTGTTGGGAATACAGACCTGTACCATAAAACCTGCAGTATTATGTGACAGCAGGAACCTGTTATCACAGCGATGACAGACTTGCCAGGTTTTCTCCTTCAAACTGAATTAGGTGCAAAGCACTACCAGCCAAATTTTGGAACATACAGTACAGACAGAAACAGACATGCATACGTGCACAAACACAGATATAGTTATCAAAATAGCATTATGAAAAAAATTTATACTTTCCCCCCTCAGACAAAAATGTCAAAAACCCCCTACCTACTGCAGCTCTGATAGCCTCCTTTGGCATGTCGGTCACCTGTATCTTTTTCAACCAATCCTGATCTTTGTTCCACAGGAACAGCTCTCCCGAGGTGAGGACCCCAGACAGCCACACATCTGGTCAAAAGCAAAGTCAACGTTAGCACCACCACTCACTTTGTTTTCTTTAAAACCACAGTAAGCTAGCCTTTGAGATGTCAGCGTGACTTAACCGTTAGTGGATGTTGCCAGGAAAACAACATCCTTCAACAAAGGTTGCAGACTAGGAATCTTCTTCTTTGTTCTTCCCGACAGCAAATTAATCTCATTTATGGATTTCTCATCCAAAAGAAAAACAGCTTCATTTTCCTAAGAGAAAAAAAAAGTGAAGCTATTAGGTGATCCCAAGAGTGATTTCAATCTTGTCTACATAAGTTACTCTAGAAAGGAAAACAAAATACCATTTAAGAACAAGAATAATTTACACCACAGATCTAAAGTAAACATTAACCTAAAACCTAAACATTTTCCATTCTGTTTTAAAATGTCTTGGGTTGCGGTGTTGCTCAGTGATAGGAGTGCTTGTCCAGCATGCATGAGGTCATGATTCTGCCTCCAGGACTATAAAACAAGTAAATAATAATAAAATATCTCGAGCCAGGCAGTGGTGGCGCACGCCTTAAATCCCAGCCAGCACTTGGGAGGCAGAGGCAGGCAGGTTTCTGAGTTTGAGGCCAGTCTGTTCTACAGAGTGAGTTCCAGGATAGCCAGGGCTATACAGAAAAACCCTGTCTCGGAAAATAAAATAAAATAAAATAAAATAAAATAAAATAAAATAAAATAAAATAAAATAAAATAAAATAAAATAAAATAAAATACTTCTTGCTAAAATTGCAGGGTAAGGTGATCTAACAGCTGCATTTAAAGTTCTTTAAAGGTGAACACTCTCTAGGGGCATTAGCCAAGTTAATGTCCTACTTATGTAAACGTTTGTATGGACAACTGTTTATACTGTTTGATTAGATTAAAATGCACATGGCTATGGAAATCCATAAGCTCGTGACTCTGATCACTTTTTTTGTCTAGAAAAAGTAGGGTATGTTTGATGAAGTCTGTGGAGCCAGCAGCAGCAATGACACCTCAGAACCTGTTAAAAACACAAATTACCAGAACTGGAGAGATAGCTCTGTCACAAAAAACACTGGCTGTTCTTCCTGAGGTCCTGTCAATACACAGTACCCACACGGTAGTTCACAGCCATCTATAACTGTAGTCTCATGCAATTTTCATGGAATCTGATGCTCTCTTCTGGTATGCAAGCATACATGCCAACAAAATATTCATATACATAAAATACATAAACAAGGTTGTAAAGCATTCTAAATATTAAAAAAAAATGAAACAAGCAAACAGAAAAACACAAATTACCCGGCCCAGACTTACTGAGCTGGAAATGCTATGGAGCTCAGCAATCTATTTTTATTATTATTTTAGTTAGTGTAAAAACTACTTCAAAATCGTTTCATTACGATATTTGTAAACATACTTATCACATATGTTGCTCATATCGGCCCATTAACCTTCCTTGTTCCTTTCCTACCTCCAAGAACTCACTCCCCTGCCGTTTTTGTCTTGTATGCACATAAAGTCTAGATGAAACATGAGAAAAAGCACAGTATATTTATCTTTCTCCCTTTCCATCACCTTCTTTTGTCATAACTACCTTTCCCTGGACCCCTCCTTCCTCCCCCTGGACCCTCCTTCCTCCCACTGGACCCCTCCTTCCTCCCACTGGACTCTCCTTCTTCCCCCTGGACTCTCCTTCCTCCCACTGGACCCTCCTTCCTCCCCCTGAACCCTCCTTCCTCCCACTGGACTCTCCTTCCTCCCCCTGGACTCTCCTTCCTCCCCCTAGACCCCTTCTTCCTTCTCCTGGACCCTTCCTTCCTCCCCCTGCCTGGACCCTTCCTTCATTCCCCTGCCTGGACCCTTCTTCCTCCCCCTGGACCCCCTCTTCCTTCCTCCCCCTGCCTGGATCCCTCCTTCCTCCACAGGGTCCCCTTTTTACTTTCATGTCACATATGTATTTATTTTTAAATGCAGATTTTTCACATTTTGAGAAAATACATGGAGAGCTTGTCTGTCTGTGTTGGGCTTCTCTCGTTTATAACAGGATGATCTCTAGCTCCATACATGAGCCTTCAAAATTCTGCTTTTATGGCTGAATAAATTTCACTTGTCCAGACGACTCTGATGAGTACAAAAGTTAAAAACGCCTGGGCTGGAGGATGGCTCAGTGGTTAAGAGTACTTGCTACTCTTCCAGGGGGGCCTTGATTCCCAGCACCCATGTGCAGCTCACAACTGTACCCCCTTCTGTCCTGTGGGACTAGCCATGCATGTAGTGTCCTTACATACGTGAAAGAGAAACATTTATACACGGAACATTAATTTTTTTTAAGTAAAGAACTTCCATTACAGGTAAGTTATTTAAGGGTAGAATTTCTCACTGAAAATTTGAATCTTTATGTCAATGATCATTATAATTAGAAGGGGATTATATAGGTTGGCCCACTCTGAGGTGTAAGTACTATATCATATTTTATGAATGGCATTCCTGGATTAGCAATGCCTTATGACCCACCTCTCCTATTCCAGCTCTAAGGTTACTTTATAGCACACTCACGAAAGACACAATATTAGGAAAACACTCCACTGTTTTGGTAGTGCAAGTATAAGAAATTCAATACTCCCTTGATATGAAGACACTTCATATGAAGAAAAAAACTGAAAACAAAAGCTTTCATCTAGATAGATGACTCAATTCTCTGTAAATGCTAACTTACGTATTATAACTTTGACACACTCAGCCACCATACCCATACATGTTTTCTAAAAATGCTAACTTGTACATTATAACTTTAACATACATACACACACACACACACACACACAGTTGTTGTTTTTTGAGGCCACAGACTATTCCTATATCTTAAAAGGAAAAGCACATATTTAACATATATAAATCCCGTAGTATATGAATAAAGGAAAACTCACTTGACCCAACCAGGATACTCTGGGCCAGGGTTTTCTCTGTTTGATACTTGTTGATGTCAAAACTTCTAATCTCATTTCCATGTTTGTTGAGAGACCAATAACCAGTCAAGCAACACCAGTCACAGGGTCCTGTGAATAACAACGGCAAGAATAAATAGCCTGTAATAGTTACAAAGGACACTGACAAAATAACGGATGAAAACCGCCTAAGTAAGGGAGGAGAGATTTTCTGTGGCTTCGTTTCAGAAGGCTCAACTCACAGCTAGTTGTTCGCATAGAATACCATGCTGTAGGAGCACAGGGAAGAGGACAGTCTTTACCTCACAGGAGAAAGAAAGCAGAGAGATAGGGATAGTGGACCAGGTATAACCTTCAAAGGTGCACCCCTAGTGACCTACATCCTCTAACCAGACGAAACTCGTGAAGTTTCCAGAAACTCCCAAAACAGCATCGCAAGTTGGGGACAAAGTAATCAATCAAGCAAATGAGCCTGTAGGAGACATCTGTAGTTCAAATGGTAACAGTGAACATGTTAATCTGAGAGTTCAAGATTTATTTATTTAAAAATAATTTAGGTATTTTTATTTTATGTGAATTGGTGTCTTTCCTGCATGTATGTCTGTGTGAGGCTGTTGGATCTCCTTGGAGTTACAGTTGCAAGCTGCCATGTGGGTGCTGGAAATTGAATCCAGGTCCTCTAGAAGAACAGCCAGATCTCTTAACTGCTGAGCCATCTTATCCAGCCCCAATAATTCTCTTTTTAAGGTAAAAAATTGCATTCTGTATTTCATCCACGTCCTAAACGAAGGCAAAATGTATTTGCTTAACACATTACTTCTCAGATAGTGGCCATAAACATAAAGTTTCCATATGATCTGCATTTCTCAGTGTAGCTGACTATATTTTAGTAAAGAAGGGCAAATTCCCTAGCCTCCTGCTCTTCCACTGACTTCGCTACTGCTCTATTCCCTTGATGTTAAGGTAGACTGTGGGATTACTTTGGCCAAGAAAGTACACTGGAAGTGACGGTATGAATATCCAAGGCTAAATCACAAAAGGTGAGAAAAGAAATCTCTGGAGTAACCAGATAAAGCAAACTGCCATCAGCCCACACAGCTGTAAGCAAGTCCAAACTAGCTCATCTGAAGAAGCCTAGCCAGTCCTGTTGCTACACATGAAGTTACAGCTACTCCAGAGGCTGAGGCAGGAAGACTAAATTCAAGGCTTTTCTGTGCCAAGACTAAATTTATGGCCAGCCCGACCCTGTCTCAAAATGAAAAGTAAAAAGAGCTTCGATACTGTTCGGAGCTCAGCACTGTTTTGGCATGTGAGGTTCTCAGTTCAACAGTAGGGCTTACAGACTTGTTCCCCACCGCTTGCAGCTTCCACAGCCTTTCTTATACAGCCCCAGGACCACCAGCCCAAGGGTGAGCTGTCTCATACGGATCATCAATCAAGAAAATGCCCCACAGGCTTGGCCACATACCAATCTGGGGGGAGGAGGTACATGCAGGGGCGAGGAGGGGAAGGTGTTCAACTCAGGTTCTTCCCAAATGATTCTAGTTTGTGATAAAACTAGCTAACCAGTATCAGTGAGGAAACAAAAAGCTCAGGTGTTCCAAATGAAAGAGGATTTAACTGCACAAAGCAGCTAAATGCAGGGTTTTTATCCTGCATCAGGAAACAAAAAAAATTAAAATAAAATGCTATATTATTCAATGCTGTTTCCTAAATCTGATGGCTACTTACGTAAAAAAGCATTACTAGAAATATGCATTGTACTGAATATGACAAGTGAATATAAGAATGGAAAATACATGCAACCATCCTCAAACCAAAAGCTATTTCTAGGTAGTTAATAGTTCCTAGATACTATATATTTGCACATGCAAAGAAAAATAAAGTACGGCAAAACATAAAGAAGTGAATAAAATAGTCTGAATAAAATACATTTATTTATATTATTTTTACAACTATAAAAGTAAATACAAAATTGATAAAAGGCAACTGGAGAAAACACGATTCAGTTACTCATCATTAGATTCTACTCGTGACTATTCTAATAGATATACTGGAGACATCGTTAGTTTTGGTTTTGAGGGGTTAATTATACTATGATTTTGTTTAATGAGTCCTTACTTATGAAAGAGAAGGATTTATGCAAAGTTTTTGTTTGGAAATATGTAGAATTATATTTTTTCAAGTAAAACGTTAAAGATAAAAAAGACAGCAAACCACTTCAAGATTTCGGGACGGTGCGATACAGAATCACGTACAACGTCTCATCACATAGAATTCTAAAAATCACCTCCTGGGATGCAGGAAACACCATTTTCTGACGCATACCGCAAAGCCTCTCAAGACACTGATGCTACTGGATAGAGATCAAGCACCACACAACAGGAACCGCTAATGGTAGAATTGCTAAAAACTCGCTCCATCGAGCAAAAATATATGACAGGAGTAATAGCCCAGTCTAGGGGAAAGGGGGAAAGGGTACCTTTATTTCAAACAAATCGGAGTGTGCAATTTCAAGAAAATCATTGAGGTCCTGAGGTTGCTGCCACGGAGGATGCTAGGAACCGGCGTCCATTCCTCGCTGCAATGTTGTCGGCTGGGGTCTCCTCAGAAGTTTCCTTGTGGCTGTGGCCGAAGTGTCCTGCCCGAAGGTCCCCCATGGAGGTGTGAGGGGCCACGGCGGGGAGGGGGCGCCTGCGACGCCAGGGAGGACCGGGGCGAGACGGCGGCCGGCCGGGAGGAAAACAGAGGTGCCTCAGCTAGATGGGAGACCCTGAGAGGCAGGAGGCGCGGGGGCCGAGCCCCTGGGGAAGGTTCCAAGGCCGTTACCTCACGCTGAGGTCCGCAGAGCCTGCAAAAGCGCTGTGTCCTGAAGAGAGGCGAGGAGGCCGCACCCGCCTCCCCAGAGCCGTGTCCAGGAGACGCGTGGGCGGGGCGCCCCACTGCGCATGCTCCGTGCCGCCCAGTGGGCGGACACCCAGCGGCTCCCCGGGCGGTCTCCTGGCTGTCTCCAACTTCTCCCCCCGAGTTTGGGGAGATCGCTGCCAGCCTGCCAGAGTGAGTCTGCTCCACCGAGTTTGTCCTGCCCTCCCGCTCTCTCCTCAGCTCAGTAGTCCCTTCTCTCTCCATCCATGGCTTCCTCTGGTGCTAGTCTGTTGAGTTTCTGGGCTCTGCGTGGAGCTTGGCAGAATGCTTTAAGAACCAGCACCTGCGCTGTTGAGAGCAGTTGTTGCATTTGTAGAGGGCATGATTTCAATTCCCAGCCCCTACAAGGCGACATAACCCTGAGTAACTCCAGTTCCAGGGGATCTGACACCTTTTTCTGGCTTCTGTGGGCACCAGGCACAAAGGTGGTGCAATACATTCATGCAAGCAAAATACTCATAAAATAACAAGTAAAAACAAAAACCAAAAAACCCAAACACCTTAAAACTGCCTAGATGAACCCTACATAGACCTAAAAGAAAAAGGTTGACTGCTATCCATACGTGAGAATACTAATGAAATAAATTTTTCCTGATGGGGAGCTATAGAACATACTTTTCATTTGTACAGATTTAATTTTTCTCTTCAGAAGTGTCTATCTAGCTTATTTACTCTATTTTTAAAGTAGTTTTTTTGGGGGGGGGGTCTTTATAGATTCTGGATATTAGACCTCTGTTAGATAAATAGCCAGCAAGTATTCTTTCCCATCCTGTAAACTGTCTCTTGAGTTTTGTCTTCTTTGCTATGCAAAAAGTTTAGTTTTATGTAATTCCACTTGCCATTTTTTAAAATTTTGCTTCCTATGCGTTTGGAATCCTATCAAAAAAAATCATTATTTACAACAATATCTTTAACTATTTCCCATATGTTTTTTTTGTTGTTTTGTTTTAGGTGTTACATAAACAACTGACTCATTTTGAGTTTATTCTTTTCCACATTTATTTGTGTAGAGGCACACATCTATGGCTCATATATAGAGGTCAGGGGACAAATCCTAGCAGTAATTTCTCTTCTTCCACCATGTCGGCTCCAGTTCAACTCAGAGGCTTGGCAGCAAGTATCTTTACCTACTAAGCCATCTTTGCCAGGGTACTGGTTGAGATGGTGGTTGATATGCAGTAAATATCCAATTTTCCTACTGGCATTCGATGGAGAATCTGTCTTTTGTATGGTTTTGGCACCTTTGTCAAGAATCAACCAGCTGGAAATACATAGGGTTATTTCTGAGCACTCCAGTGTGTCCCATTGTTCTGTGTGTTTGTCTTTACACCAGCACAGTGCTGTTCTGATACTATGGTTCTGTGTGTGTCTTCAAGTTAGGGATCGTGAGGCCTTGAGCTTTGCTCTTTTGTTCAACATGAATTTGGCTATTAGGGATCTCTTTTGCTCCCATATAAATTGTAGAATTGTTTTTCTAGTTGTGTGAAGAATGTAGCTAGTATTTGAATGAGGTTGAATTAAATCTGTAGATGGCTTTGGTTAGTTGGACTTTTTAATAATATGAATCCTTCAAAGTCTCTCATTGGCCTGGAGTCAACTATTAAACCTGACTACATGGCCAATGAGCCCAATGAATCCTGTCTCTAGTTTCCCCACATTGGAAATAAAAGAGCATCACCATGGCCACCTTTTTATGTCAGTGTTAGAGACAGAATTCACATCCTCATGCTTGCAAAGTCTTTTTCTGACTGACCCATACTCCCCCAGTCTCATACATTACACACACACACACTTTTTCTCTGTATGGTTGTTTGCTTGTATGTATGTCTGCATAGTGTGCATGCCTGATGCCTGTGAAGGCCAGAAGAAGGCATGGTATCCCCTAGAACTCAAATTATAGACAGTCATGATTATAGCCTTCATGAGGGGGTAGGGAGTAGCAATCCAGGTCTTCTGGAAGAATAGTCAGTGCTCTTAACCGCTGAGGCATCATCTCTCTAGTTTCTAGTTCTACACTTTAATCAGTGGTTTATGGGTCTTCTTTCTTCTTGGAGTTGGGTCCTTGAGGACAAAGGGAGCAGAAGCATCGAGCAGGTGTCAGATGGCTGTATGACTGAAGGACTTCTGTAGACCTCTGCAGTGAGACAATTCTACTTTATTGTTCCAGGAATAGGGTATATGAGGGCTTTGGGGTATGGGTTGAAAGGGTTAATATTGGTCATAACACAGTATCTAATTATCACACAGGCAGGAAGCCAGAGAGGGACTGTGTGCTGATATGTGCAAAGAGCTCTGCACAAGTGCTGGGATCAAAGGCATACACCACCACTGCCCGATATATATATATATATATATATATATATATATA